AGGACTTGAAGCAGCACTCCCTGTGGGATGCCAGAATTGCAGCTGGTGGCTTAACACGCTGCACCACAACGCTGGCTCCAACAGCCAGGAGTTTTGACTGAGAGCTACTTGGGCCATCATCTACTGCCTTCCCAGGCACATTAGTAGGAAGCTGGATCAGAAGCGGAATAGCTAGGATTCAAACCATCAAGTGGTAGCTTAACCCGGTGCACACAAGGTCAGCCCCAATCCAAGTAATTAAAAAGAAATGATTTTATTTGAAAGGCAGAGAGAAACCATTTGCTGGTTCACTACCCAAACGCCCACCACAGTCAGGGACTGGCCATGCCAAAGTCAGGAGCCTGGGACTCAATCAGGCTTCCCCATGTGGGTGGCAGGAACGGAAACACTTAAGCCATCATCTGCTGCCTCCATGTTTTCCTATGTTGGCAGGAACCTGGAAATGACAGCAGAGTTGGGACTTGAACCCAGGCACTCTGATAGGGGATGTGAGTCCTAAACTCATTTTAAATGCTGCACCAGACGTCCCCAAAATTTCCCTTCCTTTGTAGTTTGATACTAAAATGTTATTGAACTGTTAAGTCAACAACAGGAGTCACTGTGCACTTGCTCCCCATGTAGGATCTCTGTTCTTAATGAGTTGTACTATGAGAATTAACAGTAAAATTTGTCTTCAAATAGTACTTTGGGGCCAGCACTGTGGCATAACAGGTAAAGCTGCCACCTGCAGTGCTGACATCCATATGGGTGCTGGTTCGAGTCCCAGCTGCTTCACTTTCGACCCAGCTCTCTGCTATGGCCTGAGAAAGCAGTGGAAGATGGCCCAGGTCCTTGGGCCCCTGCAACCGCGTGGGAAACCCAGAAGAAGCTCCTGGTTCCTGACTTCAGTGCAGCTCCAGCAGGTGTGGCCATTTGAGGAGCCAACCAGTGGTTGGAAGACCTCTCTCTCTCTGCTTCTCCTCCTCTCTCTGTGTAACTCTTTCAAATAAATAAGTAAATCTTAAAAAAAAAAAAAACCCAGTACTTTATACTTTGTGTGTCTGTATGAGTGTAAGCTGTTGAAATCTCTACTTAGTATAGAGTTGATCCTCTGTATGTAAAGAAAATTAGGGGGCTGGCGCTGTGGTGCAGCAGGTTAACGCCCTGGCCTGAAGCGCCAACATCCCATATGGGTGACAGTTTGAGCCCGGGCTGCTCCACTTCTGATCCAGCTCTCTGCTATGGCCTGGGAAAGCAGTGAAGATGGCCCAAGTCCTTGGGTCCCTGCACCTGTATAGGAGACTCAGAAGAAGCTCCTGGCTCCTGGCTTCGGATCGATGCAACTCTCGACATTTCAGCCAATTGGGGAGTGAACCAGCGGATGGAAGACCTCTCTCTCTCTCTCTCTCTCTCTCTCTCTCTCTCTCTCTCTTTCTCTCTCTGCCTCTCCTTCTCTCTGTGTAACTCTTTCAAATAAATAAATAAATAAATCTAAAAAAAAAAGAAAATTAAAAATGAATCTTTTTTTTTTTTTTTTTTGACAGGCAGAGTGGATAGTGAGAGAGAGAGACAGAGAGAAAGGTCTTCCTTTGCCGTTGGTTCACCCTCCAATGGCCGCTGCGGCCTGCGCGCTGCGGCCGGCGCACCGCGCTGATCCGATGGCAGGAGCCAGGAGCCAGGTGCTTTTCCTGGTCTCCCATGGGGTGCAGGGCCCAAGCACCTGGGCCATCCTCCACTGCACTCCCTGGCCACAGCAGAGGGCTGGCCTGGAAGAGGGGCAACTGGGACAGAATCCGGCGCCCCGACCGGGACTAGAACCCGGTGTGCCGGCGCCGCTAGGCGGAGGATTAGCCTAGTGAGCCGCGGCGCCGGCCTAAAAATGAATCTTAATGAAGAATGGGATGGGAGAGGGAGTAGGAGGTGGGATGGGAGTGGGGGTAGGAGAATGGGTATGGGGGGAAGAACCATTATATTCCTAAAGCTGTACCTATGAAATGTATATTTATTAAGTATAAGCTTTCTAAAAAATGTTATTGAATTTATTTGGGCATATTGCCTTACTTTTCCATACTTCTTGTGTCCCTGTGTTGATATTTGTGCATTTGATGAGTCAGTTGTTTCAACTGCTTTTAAAGAACTGCTTTCGTGAATTGGAGGCCTTTTCCTAAAGTTGTCTTCGACAGTTTGCTAGGCTCGTTAGACTTTCATTCTAGTTGAAGGCTAGAGTTTAGTCTCCTTGTACCTTTTAACTGCAGGCAATAGCACCAGCAGCGGCGGTCTGGGTTGCTTCCAATCATTGCCCAAGGGAGACATGAGAGCCATGGGAGCAGGCCTGGCAGGTGCTGTGAATGACATGGAACCCACCTACCAGCCAACACACAAGTCAGGGGCTGGAGTTGGAAGAGTGGCACCTGTGCTAGGAGCAGAACAGACTGGCTCTGTGAGTGGGCCACGCACATGGCCCTGCAGGCTTAGCACCAGGAGGAGGGCTGGAACTCCAGGAGTAGCACGAGAGCTGGGAGTAGGCTGGGCACAAGCAGTTAGGCCATGTGCAGTTCTGAGCAGTGGATGGGATTATGTGCACCCTGGGGGCAGGTGCTTCTGTTCCTGCAGTGCAGAGACCTGTGTGGGCTAGCAACACCATTGCTCTGCGGGGTCTGGGAGGATTTGTGAGGCTGTAGTCTTTCTTGCCTGTGTTGAGGAGAATCTCTGGGCCCCTAAGAATGGGATTATGCAGAGGCTTCTGTCCCCTCGGACAGTATGGACTCTGACATGATGGTATATTACCGCAGCCTCTGCCCTTAGGGTTGGGGGGCACATAATATGACTTCCTTCTGTGAATTAAAGTGACTGTGAATTCTATAGGGAGCTCTCCTTACCGGAGATATAAGGTCTGTGCACTCCTCTTGTAGCTGACTGCTGTGTAAGGCCTGCATGCAGGGCTCTCCCGAAGTTCCTCCGTGTCCCTTTTCCCCTGCAATGATTCCTCCCAGGGATGGGGCCAGGGTCTGGGCTGTCCATTGATTTTGATCCTCTTCCTATTCTGCCTTTTCAAGTCTCTGTGCCCTATTAGGTTTCTGTTACTCCTTTGCTACGTTGTGGTGTTCTTGTGCACTCAGCTCAGATGCCCACAACAATCAGGTCTGGGCCAGACTGCAGTCATGAGTGTTTTAAAATATTTAAAAAAATATTTATTTATTTATTTATTTGAAAGGCAGTAAGAGAAAGAGAGAGAGAGAAACAGAAATGGATTGATCTTCGATCTGCTGGTTCACTCACCAAATGGCTGCAGTGGCAAGGGCTGGGGCAGAAGGAAGCCAAGAGCCAAGAACCCATCCAGGCCGGGGCCACGGCTCACTAGGCTAGTCCTCTGCCTTGCGGCGCCGGCACACAGGGTTCTAGTCCTGGTCGGGGCACCGGATTCTGTCTCCTCTTCCAGGCCAGCTCTCTGCTGTGGCCCGGGAGTGCAGTGGAGGATGGGCCAAGTGCTTGGGCCCTGCACCCCATGGGAGACCAGGAGAAGTACCTGGCTCCTGCCATTGGATCAGCGCGGTGTGCTAGCCGCAGCGTGCCGGCCACGGCATCCATTGGAGGGTGAACCAACGGCAAAGGAAGACCTTTCTCTCTGTCTCTCTCTCACTGTCCACTCTGCCTGTCAAAAAACAAAAACAAAAAAAAACAAAAAACCATCCAGGTCAAGCACTTGGGCCATCTCCTGCTGCCTTCCCTGGTGTATTAATAGGAGCTGCGTCAGAAATGGAGCAGCCAGGACTTGAAGCAGCACTCCCTGTGGGATGCCAGAATTGCAGCTGGTGGCTTAACACGCTGCACCACAACGCTGGCTCCAACAGCCAGGAGTTTTGACTGAGAGCTACTTGGGCCATCATCTACTGCCTTCCCAGGCACATTAGTAGGAAGCTGGATCAGAAGCGGAATAGCTAGGATTCAAACCATCAAGTGGTAGCTTAACCCGGTGCACACAAGGTCAGCCCCAATCCAAGTAATTAAAAAGAAATGATTTTATTTGAAAGGCAGAGAGAAACATCTTCCATTTGCTGGTTCACTACCCAAACGCCCACCACAGTCAGGGACTGGCCATGCCAAAGTCAGGAGCCTGGGACTCAATCCGCTTCCCCATGTGGGTGGCAGGAACGGACACATTTAAGCCATCATCTGCTGCCTCCATGTTTTCCTATGTTAGCAGGAACCTGGAAATGACAGCAGAGTTGGGACTTGAACCCAGGCACTCTGATAGGGGATGTGAGTCCTAAACTCATTTTAAATGCTGCACCAGACGTCCCCCTCGAGTAATTTTTACTCTTTATAACTGATGTGGTGGTGGTTTAACATCACAGCATATAAACATTAATGGCTTTGCTCATTTTCATGTGACTTTTATTGTTAAAAAATTTTATAACTTACATTTAATTTTCTACTGGGGATGTGGATTGGTGATGAAATCAGACTTTAAGGTAGAATCTACTGAAAAAAGTGAACAGCAACAAAAGTTTGGTGACTAACAGGGTGTTATGTTAAATCTACACGGAATCTCAAAGATGCTCAAAAAATAGTAAAATGGAAAGTGGCATCGACTCTAAAAGTTGAGTATTTGCTTATGCTACATGCCAGGAAATCTACATAACAAACTGAAGATTTAACACGTGTATCAGCAGACAGGCACAGGAACCTCGCGGCTGCATGTTTCCCAGAGAGGGGAAAACTCCACCATCTCCATGATCGTGGTCTTCCGGCCCGTCTTCCTCTTCACGGTGACTATGTACCGGGCCAGCACCACCCCCGCCAGCAGGGCGCACGGTCTCGCCACGGCCGCGCGGTCCATGGGCCAGGCCCGCGGGCGCCTCCCGCCCGGAAAACAACAGGCCACTCACAGGCTCCGCGAACCTCGCAGGCGCGGGACCCGGGGGAGAAGCCCGCGCCGCCACGCCCCGCCCCGCCGCGCGAGCCCCGCCCCCAAGGCCGCACCCACGAGCGCCGAGGGGCGGGGACGGGGAAAGGCCCGGGAGGGGCGTGGCCTGCGCCGCAGTCCAGGCCCGAGGCCGGGCCAGACCCTGGGTCGGAGGAACCGCTGCGTTGACCGTCTCTCTCTGCTAAAGAGGACGAGGCAGTGGTTCCCACGATCCCCGGTCCGGGACGAACCTGATTTCTACTGAGAACCCCTCAGACAGGGTCCTGGCCCTGCGCGCCTCCGCCGCTCTGGACTACAAGCCCCAGAAGGCGCCGCGGGGCAGCGCCCGGCTTGCGCAGTGGCGTCGGTTGTAAGGCGCTATGACAACAGGCGGAGGGCTGGAGCGGGGCGCTGAGGGATGCGCCGAGGCTGTCGGTGTCCTGCCGCGTCCCTCTCGCCGCCTCCTCCATCATAGCCTCCTGTTTGTGAGCAGCGGGACTGGCCGTTTCCTCGCCCGTCTGGCCTGTTCCGAGGATCGATGTCGTCTCCTCTGTTTGTCTCTGTGGATGACAGAGGGGGTGTAGGGGAGCTTCCCGGGGGAGTCGCCCCAACTCTGCAGAGCTGATGGTGCTGCCCAGTGGGGCTCTCTCTTTGGAACAGCTTGGAGCAAGAGGACGAGAGGGAGAGGTGAAGCTCTGGGGGGGCTCTCTCTGCACCTGCTCTTGTTGCCCGCGCTCCACCACTGGGACCCTCGGTCAGGCGTTCCTGCAGGGAGATCGGGGGCGGAGCTCACGCGTCCTCAGGTAAGAGACAGGTTTGGAATTAAACTTGGGGTGCCCTGTGCTGGGTGCACAGGACCGACCCTCTGATGCCGTGGAATGGTTTGGGGCAAATAAGGTGATCGGCTTTTCAGGAAGGATGTTTGCATTCAGATAAACAAACCGCGAGCGCAGAGTGTGTGAGACCCGCGAAGATCTTTGAGTGGTTTTTGAGGATTCCATGGAAGAAGTCGTGTGGCGCATGGCCGGCATCCTCCTGTGACATTGCAACAGGTCCTGTGAGCAAACGGTCAGAGTCGTTCTCAGCCTGAGTGAAGCGGGGTGCGAGTACTAATTCCCTTTAATACTTCTGGCGATGGGATTATTGCTTCTCTGTCTCTCTTTACTTTGCCGACCACAGCAGTTTAGATGAACTAAGCTGATTTTATCAGCACCTCCTCTCAAGCACTGGCTTCAATTTCCTGGGGGAAATTTATAGATTTGTTTTACTTTAAATATGTGATCGCGTTTCATACATGTGCAATCTGACATGTACACACACATGCATCACTTGGAAGCTGTCGGAGGAAAAAATACTAACTCCGCCGTCATTGAGAGAGAAAACTTTCCAACTTATTAGCAATGTGCAAAGAATAAATGGGAGAATTTTTGGTTGTGAATAAACCGAGCTATTGTTTAGAAGAATTTAAAAACAGAAAGTGTATTTTGAAAATAATTTACAACTTACATGTGAGTTTAAGGATGTTTCATTCTGTGTTGCTGTTTTGCTTGAATTATAGCGCTTCTTTGTATATTTATGCTACAACCTCTTTTTTTTTTTTTAAGATAGATTTATTTATTTGAAAGGCAGAGTTACAGAAAGAGAAGGAGAGACTAGGAGAGAGATCTTCCATCCTCTGGTTCACTACCCAGATGGCTGCAACAAAGTAGGGCTGCGGTGGGGAGGAGCTGGGCCAGGCTGAAGCCAGGAGGCAGGAACTTGCTCCAGATCTCCCAGATGGGGCCCAAGCACCTGGGTCATCTTCCACTGCTTTCCCAGGCTACAGCAGAGAGCTGGATCAGAAGTGGAGCAGCCAGGACTCCATCCACACCCGTTTGGGATGCCAGCAGCAGGCGGCAGCTTTACACGCTATGCCACAGCACCAGGCCCAGAAGATCTGCTATTAAAAGCAGATTGATCTACATGAAAAAATATGGTTGGTCTTCATTGTTTGCAGATTCTATTACTTGTGAACTTGCATACTCACAGCATTAATTTACAACCCCCAAGTCAATGCTTGCAATGCTTTTGTGGCAGAACACTTAAAAATTGAAGCCGCTTGACCAACAGCCTCCCAGCTAATGTCAAAGGGACTCTGCCTTCTTGTTTCAGCTCTCATATTTTTTTTTTTTTTTTTTTTTGACAGGCAGAGTGGACAGTGAGAGAGAGAGACAGAGAGAAAGGTCTTCCTTTCCCGTTGGTTCACCCTCCAATGGCCGCCGCGGCCGGTGCGCTGCGGCCGGCGCACCGCGCTGATCCGATGGCAGGAACCAGGAGCCAGGTGCTTTTCCTGGTCTCCCATGGGGTGCAGGGCCCAAGCACCTGGGCCATTCTCCACTGCACTCCCTGGCCACAGCAGAGAGCTGGCCTGGAAGAGGGGCAACCGGGACAGAATCCGGCGCCCCGACCGGGACTAGAACCCGGTGTGCCGGCGCCGCTAGGCGGAGGATTAGCCTAGTGAGCCGCGGCGCCGGCCTTCAGCTCTCATATTGTAAACAAGTGTCCTTTCTTGGTCTATTTAGAGAATTTTTAACACTTTTTTTTTTTGTTTTTGCATTTTGGGATGATTGTCTTGTTGAAAGTGACCTCCATATGTAATGCTGCAGTACTGTCTAATGTTCCTATGTGCGAGAAGGCTGTGATGTTCTTTATGGAGAAAATATATGTAATTCGATAAGCTTTGTTAAGGCTGAGTTGTAGTGGTGTTGACTATGAGTTCAGTGGCAATGTATCAACAATATGTGTTAGTTGAGGTATCTTTAAACAGAAACACACATTGGAAAGCATTACACATTGGTTGCTTGAAGAAAACATTGAGATGGCAGGCTTGCAGTAACCCAACCCTGTACTTGCCCTATGAGCGATGGCTCAGTACTTGATAATTCAGTGTTTGTGGTAGCATAACCTTTGTCAATAAGGAGAATTGACTGTATTTCCTCCCTACCACTTAAATCAGTGTAGCATGAAGGAAAATTTCATTTATGTTAGATAAACAAACTCGTGTGGAATCCCAGGAGATTCGATGCTGTACGGTAAGTAAAGGTTCAACATGCATTCATGTCGGTAACTTATTGTTAGGTCGAGCTAAGATACACTCATTCTAGGGGCAGGACTGTAGCGGAGTGGGTGAAATCACTGCCTGTGGTGCCAGCATCCCATTTGGGCGCTGATTCTAGTGCTGGCTGCTCCACTTCCGATCCAGCTCTCTGCTGTGGCCTGGGAAAGCAGTAGAGGATGGCCCAAGTCCTTGGGCCCCTGCACCCACGTGGGAGATCCAGAGGAAGCTCCTGGCTCCTGGTTCAGATCAGCTCAGCTCCAGCCGTTGCGGCCATTTGGGGAGTGAACCAGTGGATGGAAGACCTGTCTCTTTCTCTCTCACTCTGCCTTTCAAATAAATAAATAAATAAATAAATATTTTAAAAAAAGATATACTCTTTCTAGGTAAGAAATCAAAGTATAGAGAAGTTGTGTGTTTTGTCTGAGGACACTTTGGTGCTTAGTATTATAAGTGGACTCGCAACTCAATTTTCCTGATTCTTTTTTGGTGTAACTTTTCCTCTTTTATCTTACCTTTCTGCAATTATATGGCAAGAGGGAGTGGATGGTTTTTCAGTACCTGTAATATGCCAGTTCTGGTGTTAACACATTTGGTGCATTTGATCTCATTTGTTCTTCTCAATAATTTGTAACAGAGGATATTGAAGTATCTTCAATGACCAAACTAAAAGGAAATTATCTATTTTGTTAAATTCTTATGTTCTTGGGGCCGGCATTGTGGCGTAACGAGTTAAGCTGTTGCCTGCAATGCTGGCTTCCCATATGGCTGCTGGTTCAAGTCCCAGCTGCTTTACTTTTGGTCTAGCTTCCTGATAATGTGCATGGGAAAGCAGCAGAGGATGGCCCAAGTGCTTGGGCCCCTGCACCCACATGGGAGACCTGGAAGAAGCTTCTAGCTCCTGGTTTCAGACTGGCCCAGCTCTAGCTGTTGTGGCCATCTAGGAGTGAACCAGCAGATGGAAGATTTTCTCTCTTTCTCTCTCTCTGATTTTCCCTCTCTTTCTGTAACTTTGTCTTTCAAACAAATAAATATATCTGAAAAAGAAAGTCTTATATTCTAAATAGTGCTGGCAGAATTTACATCTCAATCCTTTAAAGAATACTTTCTTTTTTTTTTTAATTTTTTTATTTTTGACAGGCAGAGTGGACAGTGAGAGAGAGAGACAGAGAGAAAGGTCTTCCTTTACCGTTGGTTTACCCTCCAATGGCCGCCATGGCTGATGTGCTGCGGCTGGCGCATCGCGCTGATCCGAAGCCAGGAGCCAGGTGCTTCTCCTGGTCTCCCATGCGGGTGCAGGGCCCAAGGACTTGGGCCATCCTCCACTGCCTTCCCGGGCCACAGCAGAGAGCTGGCCTGGAAGAGGGGCAACTGGGACAGAATCTGGCGCCCCGACTGGGACTAGAACCCGGTGTGCTGGCGCCACAAGGCGGAGGATTAGCCTATTGAGCCACGGCGCCGGCCTAAAGAATACTTTCTTTTCCCCCTTTTTTTTTTTTATTTGAAAATCAGAGAAGAGAGAGAACAAGAGAGATCATCATCTACTAGTTCATTCCTCAAATACCTGCAACAGCTGGGACTGGGACAGGCCCAAAGCAGGAGCCAGGATTTGATCTGTGTGTGTCTCCTACAAAGGTGGCAGGGACCTAAGTGCTTATCTGCTGTCTGCAAAGGTGCACATTAGCAGGAAACTGGATTTGGAAATGGAGCTGGGGCCCAAAACCAGGCAGTCTGATAAGACTAAGGTATTCCACCTAGTGTCTAAACTGCTGCACCAAACACCTACCCCAATAACATGATTTTTTTTTTTTTACTTTGTGAAGTTCTCTCTTACATGTCTCAAAACAGAGAATTACCCTGTGATAAATGTGTAATTTCTCAGCTGAACTTAGCAGTGATATTGCAAAGTGTGATTATTGTTTCTAACTATTTGGATTTGTGGTTTCAGGCAGGGATACAACCCTCAACTAAAGTTGATATAGAAATATTTTCAAAGATGTCCAAGTTTGATTTGGTTATGCCTTAAGAGATAATTAATTCATGGTATAAAGTGGATTTTTATTATAAACAAATGCTTTCTTTTTAGAGTGAAAGAAAATGTCTTTATTTAAAGCCCGTGACTGGTGGTCAACTGTTCTGGGAGAAAAAGAAGAATTTGATCAAGGCTGTTTGTGTTTGGCTGATGTTGACAATAGTGGAAATGGACAAGGTAGGTAACTTATGGCCATGCATTTTAGAACCAAGCTTTAAATATATTAACTAAAAATGACCTGTCTTTCTAAACATGTACTTTTTATAGCATAATTGAATTATTATAAATGCCCTAATTTGAAGGTGTTTTTTCCTTATAAGCAATATTTAGGTAGCAGGCTAATAAAGTTCTGCTTTGTAGTTTGTGTTCTGTCACGTTATTTGCTTTAATTAATAAAAAAGTCTATAGTATCACTTCATTAGTTTTCTTTTTATGTAAAAAGATTTATTTGTTTGAAAGGCAGAGTGACAGAGAGAGAGAAAGAGAGACAGAGACCTTTTGTCCACTGGTTCACTCCCCAAATGGTTTAAATGGCCAGAATTGGGCCAGGCTGAAGCCAGGAGCGAAGAGCTTCATCCTGGCCTCCCACGTGGGTTCAGGGTTCCAAGCACTTGAGCTCTCCTCTGCTACTTTCTCAGGCACACTAGCAGGGTATTGGATCAGAAGTGGAGCAGCTGGGACTTGAACGGGTGCCCATATGGAATGCCAGCATCACAGGTGATGGCTTTACCGTTGTGGCTTTGCCACAATGCCGACCCATCTTGATTTTTTTTTTTTAAATTTATTTATTTATTTGAAAGGCAGAGTTAGAAAGAGTTAGAGAGAGATCTTCCATCCACTGGTTCACTCCCCAAATGGCTGCAGTGGCCAAGGCCAGGCACAAGAGCCTGGAACTCCTTTTGGGTCTCCCATATAGGTGCAGGGGCGCAGGCACTTGTGCCATCCTCTGCTTCTTTCCCAAGCGCGTTAGCATGAAGCTGGATTAGAAACGGAGCAGCTAGTGCCTAAATGAGATGCTGGCTTTTCAGATGGCAGCTTAATCTGCAGCGGCACAACACCAGCCCCTATCTTCATGTTTTTGAGTGATCTTTAAAATGGTTTAGTTCTGTATCATTGCCAAATTTGTGTTTATAGTCATGAGCTTCCTCTCTGTCTCTTTTTGCAAGCCCAGTAATCATTGGCCTCTTCAAAAGAAAACTTAGAACTGTTCCTTTGTTTTATATGATGTGAATATGGTTCCCTTACATTTTTCTTTTTTCTGTTTCTCTGTCCTGTAATAAAAACAGTAGGAACTTAGGGAAAAAGTGAAAGGAGAAAGCTATTCTTGCACCTCTTGGGAGGTACTGCACTGAGCACCTACTAAATTACTTCCAAGGGAAAGCTGGCCCCTGTCCTGCAAATAGAAAATGGGAAGGCCTTTTATTCAGATTCTTCAAAGGTTATCAGTCCTGCCACGGCCCATCTGTTTGATGAAGCTACTGGAAGCTATTTTTTTTTTTTTTTAAGATTTATTTATTTATTTGAAAGGCAGAGTTACACAGAGAAGGAGAGGCAGAGAGAGAGGTCTTCCATCCGGTGGTTCACTCCCCAGTTGGCCGCAACGGCTGGAGCTGCGCTGATCCGAAGCCAGGAGCCAGGAGCTTCCTCTGGGTCTCCCATGTGGGTACAGGGATCCAAGGACTCGGGCCATCTTCCACTGCTTTCCCAGGCCATAGCAGAGGGCTGGATTGGAAATGGAGCAGCTGGGTCTTGAACTGGCGCCCATATGGGATGCTAGCACTGCAGGTGGCGGCTTCACCCGCTATGCCCCAGAAGCTGTTGTTTCTTTATTATTTGGCCATGCTACGGGCAACTCAGCTCTCCATGGGGAATTCTTCTTGTTCCAGGCTCTTCCTTCGACTTTAGAAAAGAATTCAAAGAGGAGACATAAGGTGTACAGGAAAGCATGATTTAGTGAAAGGGATAGTACACACTCAGCCTCTCTTCCTGAGGGAGGAAGGGCTCCTGCCACCACCCGAGTTGAGGTCATTCTTTTAGTGAGTAGAAGTTTTTGCCCTAATTAAACATTCCAATGGAGTAGAGTTTGGGCAGGACCTGCGTACCACTTGCTTTTTTTGGGAATCTCGGAAGTGTCATGTATCTGCATGTGGAGCTGCAGTACACGTGGTCGTCTCTAGGAAGGTGTCATGGTGTCTTTTCATGGGTGCCTGATGGGGAATAGGTGAGCTGAGCCTGCAGTCATGTTGGATCAGCATGGAGGGGGTGGGGCTTGGGCAGTGCAGGGCTACGGCCGAGATGCTGCTGGCACTTTGCTCACTAGCTACCTGCCTGCCCACATCAACCATGTAAAAGGTCGTCTCACATAAATACCTGCCATAGAGAGCAATTTCTCTCTCTCTCTCTCTCTCTCTCTTTAAAGAGTTGTTTATTTTAATTGAAAGGTAGAGTTACAGAGAGAGAGGGAGAGACAGAGATCTTGCATCCACTGGTTCACTCCCCAAATGGCCACATCAGCTGGAGCTGGGCGAGGTGAAAGCCAGGAGCCAGGAGGTTCCTCTGGGGTTCTCACTTGAGTGCAGGCTCCCAAGCACTTTGGCCATCTTCCCCTGCCTTCCCAGGCACATTAACAGGGAAATGGGTTGAAAGCGGAGCAGCTGGGACTCGAACTGACACCCATATGGGATGCCGATGCTGCAGGTGGCGGCTTTACCCAGTATACCACAGCACCATCCCCAGAGAACAATTTCAAGTACACTTTATGGAAACTATGGAAATCTCAGATGGGTTGGAAACTATTCCTACTTATTGTCTGAATAGCTTTCTGTTCTGTTATTATTAGAGCTCATTTCTGGGTGCCATGAATGGGATACCAATATGCTGAGATATTGCTGCATCCATTTGTAGCCAGCTGAAAGCAGTCTCCTCTGTTTTCCTAAGCAGTGCTATACAAAGGTCATTACGTGTGTGTCCCACCTGGATAAAAACCTTGATCATTGTTTCCCAAAGTCTGAGCCCCTGTGTTGCAATATCCTGGGGGCAGTTATTATCTATGAAGATTTTCTGTCCCACACATCCAAGATCCTGTAAGATTGTGGACTCTGGAGGTAGAGGGGATGGTAGGGCTTAGGTATCTTCATTTTTGAGAAACTCCAAAATTGAATGGTGGCACTCCAAAGTTTGGGAATGGTTGTCAGTCTTAGGAAACAGAAGGCCAATGACAGCAGTTTTGGTTGTGCTTTGAGATAGAAGGGTCTGGTGTATAGGACAGAGGTAAAGATTTTGGAGGAACTAGTATGCAGGTTGTGTTTGAATCCCTGAGAATGAGTGAAAATGCAGAGAGAGAGAGACAGACAGACAGACAGAGAGAGGATAAGAAGGAGGGAAATGTTGGATTGAAACCTGGAAATGCGGAGACTGAGTGTTCATAGCTCTTTTAACAGAAAGTTAGCTGTGAAGGGTGGAAGGCAGGATGATGATTTGGGGACAATGTAGGATCAAGGGAAATGGGAGAAATTCAGTGTATAGGATAGAGTGTGTGTGTGTGCGTCGGTGTTTGTGTGTAGTAGACATGGGATCACGTATGAAGATGGAAGGGCTAACTTTCAACAGGTGTGGGGAACTTTTCTACTGTGACAGAAGGCTAGAAGGTAAGAAGGGTAAAAATGGATACAGTGACACCTGTTTGCGGGTATGCCAATGAACCCTAAATCTATAAGACCCACCAAACTTTAATATTGGAAAATTTCCTTATTAAACCTGGATGTGATAGGAATCACAACATCTACACATTTAAGTTTTTTTGGCATTGAATTTATGAAACTTCCCAAAATCTGGCAGAGGAATGATACCAATTTTGATTTTTTCCTTGTCTTTTATTGTACTTGTTAAGGAACCAGATGGATGTCCTGTCATTTTCTAAGGAAATATGTTTCCTTTAAACTCTTAGAACCTGAGTGAAAGAGCATAGGTTGGTTTTGTTTTCCCACAGGGTGAACTGTGCTAAAAAATTGGGGGTGGGTGCTTAGCCTAGCAGATATGACTCTGGTGAAGATGCTTGTGTCCCATACCAGCGTGCTTGAGTTCTATACCTGGGTCGGGTCCTTGGCTCCAGCTTCCTGCTAATGCTGACCCTGGGAGGCAATGTGATGGCCTAAGTTACTGGGCTCCTGCCACTGATGTGTGAGACCTGGGTTGAGCTCCTGGCTCCCAGCTTCTGCCCGGGCCCATTCTGTTTATCGTGAGCATCTGGGAAGTGAACCAGCTAATGGGAGCTTGCTGGCTCTCTCTGCCTCTCAAAAAAATTTCTTTTGTTTGTCATTGGGCTTCCATAATTGGCAATAACAGTGTTTTTCTGGGCTGCCAGAATTAGTAGAAACTCACAACCAATATTCACTTGAGTACTTTTCTTTCATTGGCATACCTGCATAACTGAGTGACAGTCCTGTAGGGATGGATTTGAGGAAAATTCGTAGTAGGTGTGTGTGGTGTGATACAGTGACTGTGCAAAACCTTGCCGTTGCAGCCACTTGGGGAGTGAACCAGGGGATGGAAGACCTTTCTCTCATTCTGCCTCTGCCTCTCTGAAACTGCCTTTCATATAAATAAATAATTTTTTTTTTTTTTTGACAGAGTGGACAGTGAGAGAGAGAGAGACAGATAGAAAGGTCTTCCTTTACCGTTGATTCACCCTCCAATGGCCACCATGGCCGGTGCATCACGCTGATCCGAAGCCAGGAGCCAGGTGCTTCTCCTGGTCTCCCATGCAGGTGCAAGGCCCAAGGACTTGGGCCATCCTCCACTGCACTCCCGGGCCACAGCAGAGAGCTGTCCTGGAAGAGGGGCAACCAGGACAGAATCCGGCGCCCCAACCGGGACTAGAACCTGGTGTGCTGGCGCCACAGGCAGATTATTAACCTATTGAGCCGTGGCACCGGCCTAAATAAATCTTTTAAAAAAAGAAAAAATTATTTCTTTATTTTCATTTTTATTTGAAAGGAAGAGAGAAAGTGAGGAGAAAGAAAGAAAAAGAAAGACAAAGAGAGATCTTCCATCTGCTGGTTCACTCCCTAAATTCCTGCAAAAGTCAGGAACCCAAAGCTCATTTTGGGGCTCCCACATGGGAAGTAGGGATCCAAGTAGTTGAGCCATCACCATTACCTTTCAAGGTGTACATTAGCATTAGCAGGAAGCTGCATTAAAGTGGAATAGCCAGCCCTTGAAACAGGCGTTCTGATAAGGGGTGTGGATATACAAAGCAGTGGTTTAACTGCTGTGCCAAATTCTCTCCCCTGGGCAATCTTGTGTTAGTTAACCATAAGTTGAGATCTGAATAAGGATGTTACTTGAGATCTGGTTACTATAATAACTTTACTTTTTTAATGAGCATGTGTATACTTTTTTTTTTTTTTTAATATTTTGACAGGCAGAGTGGACAGTGAGAGAGAGAGACAGAGAGAAAGGTCTTCCTTTTTGCCGTTGGTTCACCCTCCAATGGCCGCCGCGGCCAGCATGCTGCGGCCGGCGCACTGCACTGATCCAGTGGCAGGAGCCAGGTACTTATCCTGGTCTCCCATGGGGTGCAGGGCCCAAGCACTTGGGCCATCCTCCACTGCACTCCCGGGCCACAGCAGAGAGCTGGCCTGGAAGAGGGGCAACTGGGGCAGACTCTGGCGCCCCGACCGGGACTAGAACCCGGTGTGCCGGCGCTGCAGGTGGAGGATTAGCTTATTGAGCCGTGGCGCCGGCCCATGTGTATACTTTTGGATTCTGGCATTGGCCATCCTGTTGTCCTATTATCCCTGAAGATAGGGTTGTATTTAAATAAAGTCTTGCATGTTCAGTGAGTAAAAATGATGTTCAGGACATGACAGGATACATGGGGAATTCATGGGAAGCATTTTAGAAAGTGAGATTTCTTTTCCAAACCATATGGACTCTTCCAGTAACTCCATCATAACGGTAAGAATCTCACTTTTTCTGATTAGTGCTTTTACTAAGAAAACTGGGGACATTTGCTATTGTAATTTAGAACTCAAAGAATCAATCTGATTTATATTCTCAGTGGTTAATTACCACTGCCACCCTTGTATGCGAAGAAATTCTTCTGGCAGAATACCAAAGACCCTGACTGTTTTTCTTTGTTCCAAGATGAGAATTTTGATATTTAAATTTCTCAGTATCTTATTTTAAATTATCGAGTGTCCTTAGAAAGAGCGATCTTCCATCTGGTTTGCTACTCCCCTTTCCTGTTTACTTGGCCCTTGGCAGCAGCTGTCCTATTCACTGAAGTTTCACCTGCAGTGGGCACAGGAAACCAGATGACTGGAGGTGACAATTTGATGAACTGTTCTGTCTCTGTGTACTGTGCTCCTAACCCCACCTAGACTATGAACACTGGTTTGTGCCCAACTTAGCTCATGAACCAATTCTCAGTATTCTTATGGATTTGGGTGCGGTTTATTCTCTGGTGTTCATTTCTCCATCATTTAACTTTTTCACTTTATTTTGCAACAAGTGACATGAAACTATGATAAATTTAATTATAAAAAAAGATTGGAATGAGAGTGAGATAGCTTCCTCAAAAGCAGGCTGAGTTGAACTGGCTTCTGGAGGTTTCCATCTGGCACCAGATTCCTGGTGACTTTCCTGTCTCCACTCAGGACTGAGGTTCCCAGAACAGCACCTCGCTTGTAGGTTTATTATGAAGATTTAGTGCATGTAAACTACTAGGAGCATCGTCTGGCACATGGTAATCTCTTGATTATGCAGAACTCCTCTTTTTAAGTAGATGGAAATGAGCTTTCTGGGTGACTCAACAAAGTTCTACAATTGGGTGGCTTACAACAAGAGGAATGCATCCTCTCCCTGTTCAGGAGGCTCGGAGTCTGCAGTCCAGGTGCCGGCAGGACATTGCTGCTGCCTGTGAAGACTCCGGGAGCCTTTCTTGCTTCCTCCAGGACGCTGGCTTGTAGATGCATCATCACTCCAGTCTCTGCCTGTGTGTAGCATGGCTGTTTTCTCTCTGTGTGTCTGCATCTTCACAGGGCATTCTCCTCCTCCATCTCTGTTCCCTTAAAAGACACTCACTGAGTCCTAACACACAGCTAGTTGTGATCTTTCTAAAAATTTGAATAATCTGCAAAGATGTATCCAAATAAGGCCATATTCACAGGTACCTGTGAATGTACCTTTTTGGGAGACACAAGTTAATCTGAACTACCCATCCTGTGATTTCCCCCTCTGATATCCAAGATTAAACTCTATTAATCCAGGCACTCTATCCAGTGAGGCCTCAGAATCCTATTCTATACAGTGTTTCTGACAGCTATAACCTGTTGTAGAGTGGACATTCTGAGATGAAATCCATTTACAACCTTGTAGTAGTCCTTTGAATAAAAGACTTGCTTTGACTGAGTTAAATTATGACTCAGTCATAGGCTTGGGAAATGATTCAGTGTATTAGTATACTTGAATATGGGTGATCTAAAGTATGTTATTTTTATTTATTTATTTATTTATTTATTTTGACAGGCAGAGTGGACAGTGAGAGAGAGAGAGAGACAAAGAGAAAGGTATTCCTTTGCCGTTGGTTCACCCTCCAATCACTGCCGCGGCTGGCGCGCTGCAGCTGGCACACCGCGCTGATCCGAAGGCAGGAGCCAGGTGCTTCTCCTGGTCTCCCATGGGGTGCAGGGACCAAGCACTTGGGCCATCCTCCACTGCACTCCCTGGCCACAGCAGAGAGCTGGCCTGGAAGAGGGGCAACCGGGACAGAATCTGGCACCCTGACCGGGACTAGAACCCGGTGTGCCGGCGCTGCAAGGCGGAGGATTGGCTTATTAAGCCACGGTGCCAGCCAAGTATATGTTATTAAAATAAGTTTATTGGGACTGGCGCTGTGGCGCAGCAGATTAAAGCCCCCACCTGAAGCACCTGCATCCCATATGGGTGCCGGTTCTAGTCCTGGGTACTCCTCTTCCAATCCAGCTCTCTGTTATGGCCTGGGAAAGCAGTACAAGATGGCCCAAGTCCTTGGGTCCCTGAACCTGTGTGGGAAACTGGGAACAAGCTCCTGGCTCCGGCTGTTGCGGCCATCTGGGTAGTGAACCAGCACACGGAAAACCCCTCTCTCTCTGTTTCTACCTCTCTCTGTAACTCTGTCTTTCAAATAAATAAAAATAAATCTTAAAAAAAAAGTTTATTTTAATTACATCTGTTGGTGGAGTGTATATGAAACAAATCTGGATTTTTTTAATTTGTAGATTTATCTTCAAACGTTAGAAAGATTATTACCAAAGATGTTTACTAATATTTGTTTCTTCCTGTATCTTTTTTCTAAAAAAATTTTTCTCAACAGATAAAATAATTGTGGGTAGCTTTATGGGATACCTAAGAATCTTTAGCCCACATCCTGTAAAAACAGGAGATGGATCTCAAGCTGAAGATCTGCTTCTGGAAGTGCATCTGAGAGATCCAATACTTCAAGTGGAAGTAGGAAAGTTTGTTTCGTAAGTACAGCCCATTGATTCTGGTACTTTATTGTGGAGTATGTCAATCCCATACATATTTCCTTTCTTTCTTTTTTTAAATATTTATTTATTTGTTTATTCAAAAGGCAGAATAAGGGAGAAGGAAAGGAAGAGGGATCTTTCATCTGCTGGTTCACTCCCCAAATGCCCACGATAACCAGCCTGGGCCAGCCAAAGCCAGGAGTCTAGAACTCCATCTCAGTCTCCCACAAGGGTGGCAGGGTACCAAGTGCTTCTGCTATCTTCTGCTACCTTCCCAGACTCATTAGCAGGAAGCTGGATGAGAAATGGAGATGTTGTGATGCAAAGTTTATCAGCCTCTAAATATATTTTTTGTATATTGTCACCTGAGTGTTCCTAATGTATGGGATACTAATTTAAAATAAAAAATAATGAATTTTGAGTGAGTGTGTGAGAGTGCTTCCATCCACTGACTTACTCCCCAAATACCCCCCTTTCTCCTCCTAAGTGTGGGCAGTGCCCTGAGCTCTGGATTTTGGCTCACTTCTTTTGCTTGTAGTGCTTTGTTGACCCCAGGAGCGATTTTTTCAGGGCCCTGATTTCTGCTTGGAATAACCAACCACTTGTGAGTGTTCATTCTCTTCTAGTGTTGTGTTTCTTTTCATTAGAAAGCTGCAGCATGGATGTGTTGGGCTGGGGTATGAGATGAGACTTTATGCAGTGTGATAGGCTGGGTTGGGGAGATTTGTGACTGATGTGGTTGCTAGGTATCTCCTTCACCTGAAAGCAGAGATGATTACATACCCAACATGTACCTAGCACATACTAGACATGATGGATTTCTCAAGTAAGGGCACTAAAGGAGTCATGCCTCTAGAAAACATTTTTTAAAAAAATATTTATTTATTTGAAAGGCAAAGCATGAACGAGAGTGGGAAGAGGAGGGGAGGGAGGGAGAAGGAGAGGAGAGAGAGAGGGATAAGGATCTTCCAGCTGCTAGTTCACTCCTCAAATGGCTGCAACAGTCAGGTCTGGACCAGACTGAAGCCAGGAGCCAGGACTCCATCTGGGTCTCCCATGTGGGTGGCAGAGGCCCAGGCACTTGAGCCGTCTTCTGTTTTCCCAGGCTTGTTAGCAGGAAGCTGGGTTGGAAGGAAAGCAGCTGAGACTGGGACTGGCATTCTGTTAAGGGATGCCAGCACTGTAAGTTGTGCTGGGCCACAATGCCAGCCCATCTGAAAAACATTTTATCTTCCCGTTATTCTCTCCCATGGGGTGCAGGGCCCAAGGACTTGGGCCATCCTCCACTGCACTCCCGGGCCATAGCAGAGAGCTGGCCTGGAAGAGGGGCAACCAGGACAGAATCCAGCACCCCGACCGGGACTAGAACCCGGTGTGCCGGTGCCGCAGGCAGAGGATTAGCCTATTGAGCTGCGGTGCCAGCCATACACACAATAGTCTTTAAGTGTGATTTATGTGATCACCTGTTGGAAAGGGAGCAGGCTAATGTTAGGAAGTGGAGCTGTGCTAGGTCTTTGTAAATATTGTCTCAGTAATCATATCTGTAAGACAGCTATGGTCTATATTTATAGATAAGGAAACTAGAGCTTAGAGCTTAAGGTTATATGGCCCAGATTCAGATCTGGTTTCCCTGATTCCATACATTTTTTTTTTTTTAAATTTATTTGAGAGGTAGAATTACAGACAGAGAAAAGGAGAGAAAGAGAGAAAGGTCTTCCATCCACTGGTTCACTCCCCAGACGGCTGCACAATGGCCGGAGCTGGGCCGATCCGAAGCCAAGAGCCAGGAGCTTCTTCCGGGTTTCCCATGCAGGGGCAGGGGCCCAAGGACTTGGGCCATCTTCCACTGCTTTCCCAGGCCATAGCAGAGAGCTGGATCGGAAGTGGAGCAGCTGGGACACGAACCTGCACCCATGTGTGATGCCAGCACTGCAGGCGGAAGTTTAGCCTACTACACCACAGAGCCGGCCTCATGATCCCAATCTTTACTATCTTTCCATGACATGCTCTTTTCTTACTGAACATGATGGAGAAATTGCTTTTAGTATCCAGGGTACATGTAAAAACTGGTAAAGGCAGTAGCAATTATGGGATCATTCATATTTGTATTTTCTGGTAGTGCGATGAATGATAAATATTTTATGTTTATTGCACCAATAATTTTTCAGATATTATCTTAATACAATTCTTATTTTGCAAGTGAGATATAGACACTTTGTAAGATTAATTAGTTGTACATATAGTTGAGTTGCAAAGTCAGTTCTTGTATTTTAGAATAGTGTCTGTGTCAGAGATTGTACACTGGAGGACTGTTTGCACATGGAGTACCACAGTGTTTTAAATTTAAAATAGCTGCCAGCATTTAAGAAACCAGGAGAGTTCATATAAAATTCCTGCTTTCTGATGTTTTTTGAAAAGAAAAAAAAAAAAGTAGAAATCTGGCCATAAGCCCAGAAACCAGTAGTAGCCACCTTCTTTAGTCTAGCCCCAGTCTCTAGTTAATCATAGCCACTTACACCCTTTACTCTTTCACATTTATTAGCTTAACCCTGGATAATAGTGAATGGAGGATTTCTAGATTTCCATGCTACTGTCCCTGGAAACCACCTGACATGATCTGAGAAGTACAATGTTGGCCGGCGCTGTGGCTTACTTGGCTAATCTTCCGCCTGTGGCGCCGCCACCCCGTGTTCTAGTCCTGGTGGGGGTGCCGGTTCTGTCCTGGTTGCTCCTCTTCCAGTCCAGCTCTCTGCTGTGGCCTGGGAAGGCAGGGGAGGATGGCCCAAGTGCTTGGGCCCTGTACCTGCATAGGAGACCAGGAGGAAGCACCTGGCTCCTGGCTTTGGATCAGCACAGAGCACTGGCCGTAGCAGCTGTCTTGGGGGTGAACCAACGGAAGGAAGACCTTTCTCTCTGTCCCTCTCTCTCTCACTAACTCGGCTTGTCAAAAAAAAAAAAAAAAAAAAAAAGTAAAATGTTGATATTGTTAGTTTATTTGTATTTGCAAGTTTGTTCAAACTGAATGTTTTTGAATACTTTTAATAAAATTTCAGTTCTGGAAGTGAGACGTACCATTTACTAAGAATGATTAGTTTTTGTGGTGTTCTGTTCTTTTCAAGTTGTGCTCACGTGATGTAGTTTGATTTAATTGAAACCTGTTTCAGTAGGGTACATAGGCCCAGGGAGATGAATGACTTGCCCAGAGTCACAGGTGAATTAGCCCGAGAGCCAGGATCAGAATTTGGTTCTCTTGTGAAGCCTCAGATCAGGTTGCTCCTTGAATCCCCACTTGGTTTCTGTCTGAAGGCAGCCCCCGGAGGCAGAGTTGGAGCCTCTGGGGTTGTCAGATTGGCTGTTTGTTGTCATGTCTATTTTTGGTTTACTTACAGTAGCTGCAGTTGTCAGAGCTTTTGAAATTATTTTATACTGTGTTACATCTGAAACTAATATTTCATAACTTTTAAAACTTTCTCCATTTTTTTCAGAGGTACTGAAATGCTTCATTTGGCTGTGTTACATTCTAGAAAACTTTGTGTCTACTCTGTCTCAGGTAAAAAACATTTTCTTTTGTAATGTAGAATTTTTATTAGGAACTGGTCTCCTTAAGATTACATAAGAATAGATATTCGCTAGTGCTGACTTAGTATAGAGAACATGAAACATTCACTTGAAGGTTTTCTCATCTTGGTTAGCTTTTCTTCATTGTTCACTATTCCTTTGGGTACTCAAGCTGTTACATTTTCCTGGTCTCCTGTTTCTGTGCATACTTAGATTTCTAGTAGAGGGTTCCTTGTAATCTCCCTCCTCCAAGGAATTAGGGTCAATACTGGGCACTGAGGACTCTTGAGTGTTAAGAGATGTTTCTTTTTTTTTCTTTTTTTAAGATTTATTTATTTATTCAAAAGTCAGAGCTACACAGAGAGAGGAGAGGCAGAGAGAGGTCTTCTGTCTGCTTGTTTACTCCCCAGATGGCCGCAGTGGCCGGAGCTGCACTGATCCGAAGCAAGGAAACAGAAACTTCTTCTGGGTCTCCCATGCAGGTGCAGGGGCCCAAGGACATGGGCCATCTTCTACTGCTTTCCCAGGCCATAGCAGAGAGCTGGATCGGAAGTGGAGCAGCTGGGTCTCGAACTGGCACCTATATGGAATGCCGGCGCTTCAGGCCAGGGTGTTAACCTGCTGTGCCACAGCACCAGCCCCAAGAGATGTTTCTAACAATAGCAAAATTCATTAGATGCGGAGTCAGTGGTTTGGAGTAGAGTTTTTTGGGTGAACCTCAAGTGTTTTTTCTTTGCACTTCCAGTATTTTGGCATTTGGTTGTCTTTCCTCAACCAGGCCTCAAGGCACTTCCTTGGAGGCTTAACCAAATTTCATCCTCTCACATGGTTGTGTGGGTACCAGGATAGTGGTTTGGTACCAGCATCTGGCTCCTATTAAATTTGAGAAGTAACTTGAGTTATTAGGTTAATTTTAGTTCAAGTTGGGAGTTACTTTTATGAATGTTAATATTAGAGAAATATTAATAATAAATATTAATAAGGTGAAGCTGAGTATTTGTGGGGTTATCCCCTACATGAAAGATAATCTCCTTTGGAATTTGATGTAAATGTTAGTTTCTAGGAATTAGATTTTTCCAACTCATTCTCCTTCTCTTTCTTTCTCGCTCTCTCTCTCTCTCTCTTTTTTTTTTTTTTAAAGAAAGATTTATTTCCTTGAAAGGCTGTGTGACAGAGAAAGGGAGACAGACAGACAGACAGATATCTTCCATCCACTGGTTCAGTCCCCAAATGGCTAAAACATCCAGGTCTAGGCCAAGCCAAGAGTTAGAAACTCCATTCTGGTCCTCACATGGTGGCAGGGGTCAAGCACTTGGGCCACCATCTGCTGCCTTCTCAAGTTGCATTAGCAGGAAGCTGGATTGGAAGTGTTGTAGCTGGAACTCAGACTGGCATGCCCAAAGGGGAAGCTTAACTTGCTCTGCCACACACCAGTACCCAGACTCATTCTCTTGATTGTAGTCTTCCTTGTATCTTGCTTTCTATTTGAGTAATTATTTGTATTTACTATCAGTGATCTGGATAGCCTTTCTTTTTGAGCTTTATTTTAAATTTTATTTAAAAGGGAGACAGAAGAATCTTCCATCTGCTAGTTTAGTGCCCACAACATTTGGGCTGGGCCATTCTGAAACGAGGAGCCCAGAACTCAATCTGTGTCTCCTGTGTGTGTGTCAGGGTCCCAGATACTTGAGTGAGCATTTACTGTTTCCCAGGGTACACATTAGCAGGAAACTGGATTAGAAGTGGAGTCACAACTTGAACCAGGCCCATGACATGGGATATGGGTATCCCAAGCCACGTCCTAACTGCTGTGCCTAACTTCTGTCCCAATGAGCTGTATTTTCTTAGGCATTCTCTTTTCAGGTGAGGATCTGTTATATTTCTAATTCAGGCTTGGTAACCAGGCATGTTGTATATGGCAGACATCCAGTAAATATTTATTGAATTAATGAGTTAACAAATTTCTGCATAGTGCTGAGGCAACTGATAGCTGAGTCCTTATTATTCTTTACCATGTACTGTTTTCTTCTCCCTCTCTGTAACCATTATCATTTTATTTTCTTCTCTGCTTATATGAGAGGCCAGATGAAGTGCATTCTTACTAGTGTCATGGTATAAGGTATTGCTCTTCCTAGTGATAGGGCACAGATTCAGTATTGCATAATAAGGGGAAAAGGTCTGATATAGGCTCCTTTATTGCATGAGTCTAGTTGTTCCTCTGTGCCTGATCATAAGCCTGGTAATTGCAAGTGCTATTTCACTACCTGGGTTGTGCAGGCCATGGAGCGGCAGAGCTTGCTGGTTACAGTTACCCTGACGACTTCTTGGAGCAGTTCTTCTAAAGGCCCCCAAGGGGCTCAAAGCCGGGCAGAGAGGAGGTGCTTCTGAGAAACTAGAAGTCAGGTCAGATTTTTGGCCTTCCCTGGTCTCACATAAATTGTGGCCCAGGAAGATGACAGCCGCTAGCATCCCACTGGGGCTTGCGGCGTGGACTAGGAATAAAAGATGTGCTTATCCGAGAAGCCCACCACAAGAAAGTAGCATGTTTTGTCACAGTTTGTTTACCGGACATTGGCATCCCTCCTTAAATTAGTGTTGAAGATGAAAGTTATTTGCCATGGGAACGGCGAATTTTACTGCTCTTTTATTCTTTGTGTTCATGTCCAGACTTCGTATTCTCTGGGGACCCATAGTTGTCCAAATTACATTCCTTTATGCCCCACCTCACTTCCTTCTGTCTCTCATTTCTAAAGCCTCTGAAGATATTTGTAGACTGACAATTTGTGTATTTTTCCTGGCTTCGCTTAAATTGAGAAGCAAGGGAAGTTAATGTTTTTGTTCTCTTAAACATGTTTCTTGGGGTTCCAGGTTGAACTTTTACCTAGCTTTTACTGTAACAAGGGAAGCACAAACATTTTCTAGTTTAAGTAAATTCATCAATGGATGAAAGTGTTAGCTGAGCCTGACATCCTTTCCCTCAAATGCCTTCTTTTCAAATATTTTTTGTTTTATTTTCTTTTCTTTTATAGTCTGTGTGCTTCCAAAAAAGATTTGAGTCAAACTAGAAGACATCTTTAAAGTCAGTCTCCTGGATATACTGAAAACCTCCTATTTTTTTTTTAAAGATTTATTTATTTATTTGAAAGTCAAAGTTACATAGAGAAGGAAAGGCGGGGTGGGGGGGCTTCTATCAGCTGGTTCATTCTACCCCAATTGGCTGCAACGGCTGGAGCTGCTCCATCCGAAGCCAGGAGCCAGGAGCTTCTTCTGGGTCTCCCATGTGGGTGCAGGGACCCATGGTCTTGGGCCATCTTCTACTGCTTTTCCAGGCCATAGCAGAGAGCTGGATCAGAATTGAGCAGCTGGGACTAGAACAGGCGCCCATATGGGATGCTGGCACTTCAGGTGGCAGCTTTACCCACTATGCCACAGAGCCAGCCCCCTAAACAACCCTTAATAGTCAGAGGCTACTGTGGGGACTTCTTCTTGGTGGGGGATATAGTATCAAGTGTATGCTTAGTACGGAGACACAGCAGGGTCTTGCTGCCTTGAAGTGAGCTCATCTTATCATGCTCTGGAAGGGAAAGCATTGCGTGGCATCTCACATTCCTTTCTGATGGGCTCCAATTTCTGGGTAAATTGTTACAGATGTGTGAGCTTAAGCCATACTAATTATATTCTCTTAAATATTTTTCTCCAAAAATTGCTTCACAATAAATATTTTTTAAACATCTGTTGTATTTATAGAATTTTAATAGGTGCCATGTGCATAGCTAAAAAGATGTGATTCTTTACTTTTGACAGGCTTATATGATCTTATTTAATTATTTAACACAGCCTTCATAATGATACTGTGTTATGTAATGTCCTTGGACTGCTTAGCAGTTGTATGAAATTGTACTCTAAACTATTATCAAGAAGAGCATTTCAAAATTTGTTTATTTTTGTTTATTTGAAGGTAGGAGAGAGAGAAGGAGAGTGAGAGACAGACAGGCAGAGATGAACAGACATTTCCCATCCACTGGTTTACTTCAAATGTCCACAATGGCCAGAGCTGGTCCAGGCTGAAGCCAGGAGCTGGGAGCCAGGAATTCCATCCTGGTCTCCCACATGGTGTCATGGACCCAAATACTTGGGCCACTTCTGCTGCTTTCCCAGGTGCATTATCAGGACACTGTATCAGAAGTCAAAGAGCTGGGTGACCAGGAGAAGCACCTGGCTCCTGCCTTCGGATCAGTGCGTGCCAGCCATGGCGGCCATTGGAGGGTGAACCAATGGCAAAAGGAAGACCTTTCTCTCTGTCTCTCTCTCTCACTGTCCACTCTGCCTGTCAAAAAAAAAAAAAAAAAAAAAAAAAAGTCAAAGATCTGGAACTTGAACAAATACCCAGATACAGAATCCTGACATCACAAGCAACAGCTTAACCCACTGCACCACAGTCCAAGTCCTGAAACTTTTTTTTTCACTTAAATAGATTTTATTTTAAAGATTTATTTATTTATTTGAAAGTCAGAGTTACACAGAGGAGAGGCAGAGAGAGAGAGAGAGAGAGGTCTTCCATCCGATGGTTCACTCCCCAATTGGCCACAACAGCCGGAGCTGCGCTGATTCAAAGCCAAGAGCCAGGAGATTCTTCCCGGTCTCCCATGTGGGTGCATGGGCCCAGTGCCTTGGGCCATCTTCTACTGCTTTCTCAGGCCATAGAAGAGAGCTGGATCAGAAGTGGAGCAGCTAGGTCTTGAACCGGCACCCATGTGTGATGCTGGCACTTCAGACCAGGTGTTAACCCACTGTGCCACAGCGCTGGCCCCTTAAATAAGATTTTGTTTAAACAAAACTAATAGTATAAATGATCTAATATCTACCTACTTTCTAATTGATGGAATTGTATATTAACTTTAACCTTATGTGGACTATAATCATCTACACTTAATAGTCAATATGTTCATAGACAGTATGTTTAAAGATAAAACCTATATAAATGTTCTTTTTTTTTTTTGAAGATTTATTTTATTTATTTGAAAGACAGAGTTACAGAGAGAGGTAGAGACAGAGAGAGAGAGAGAGGTCTTCCAACTGCTGGTCCACTCCCCAGGTTTCTGCAATGGCTGGAGCTATGTGAATTGGAAACCAGGAGCCAGGAGCTTCCTCTAGGTCTTCCCACATGGGTGCAGGGGCCAAAGGACTTGGGCCATCTTCTACTACTTTCCCAGGCCATAGCAGAGAGCTGGATTGGAAGAGGAGCAGCTGGGACTTGAACCTGTAGCCATGTGGGATGCTGGCACTGCAGGCGGTGGCTTTACCCACTATGCCACAGCATGGGCCCCTTTACTGGTGTCTTAATCAGTAACCCAAATACCTGGCCACAGAAAGTTTAGATTCTAAATAGTACTTTTATTGCAAGGTAGTTATCTAATGAAGAGGAATTATCTTTATTCTCCATCGTTGCATTATTAAGTTTCAAAGTGCTAGTATTTGAAGTTTTAAAATTTACCAGTGCAGTTGGAGTTTTTATAGAACACAAGTCTTAGTGTCATTTCATGCTAAATTTGCTCAAGTATTGGCTGCTGTTGTTCACTGATGTGAGTTCCTAATGTTCCTGCTTTCCTTTTGGCTAATAATCATGCATAAGTGCCTTCCTTCTTCAGAGGGTTTGATCTGGCTGTGGGTGCAGAATGAAATTGGTAATTTCTGTAGTGTTAAACCAGGTGTTTCTTGGATTTTTTTCCCCCTGGTTTCTTGGAAGCTAGAACTCTCCCTAGGTTAATGCAGGTGTTTAGCTGGTTTTTGTTTTTTCCCCTTGTGGCTGGATTAGTTGTGATTATACCCCAGATTCCTGGTATCCCACTTATTTTATACTATCTAGATTACAGACAGTCTATCAGGGTTAGCCGCCAAATTTGAGTCTCTCTCTCTCTTAAAAATGGTTTTATTATGTATTTTATTTATTTTAAAGGCTGGGGGAATGTAGGGGAGGAGAGGAGGAAGGGAAGGAGAGAGAGAGAGAGAGAGAGAGAGAGAAGAAGAGAGAGTACTTCACTCGCCAAATACTTGGGAGTCAGGGACTCAATCCAGGTCTCCCACATGGGTGGCAGGGACCCAGCCACTTGAATAATCACTGTGGCCTTCCAATGTGCACATTAGAAGGAAGTAGACCTGGGAGCAAAGCTGGGACTTGAACCCAGGCCCTCCTATATGGGATGTGGGCATCCCAACTGTTACCTTCACTTCTGTGTCAGATGCCTGCCCTCTCTTTTCATTTCCCCATTGTTATGCAAATCTACTGTTAGCCATATTCCAGGGCGTGGAACTGAGTAAGAGTGATTCTCCTCCAAGAAATCCTCCCTTGTTAGTTTTTCTCTTTCAACTGTTAAAAAGAAAATCTTTAGACAAATTAAATTTAACAGTTTAGTGGAGCCAAGAATGATTCAGGAAATAGGCAGCTGTCAGAACCAGAGGAGGCTCAGAGAGCTCTGCTCCTTAATGTAGGCAAGCAATATATATAGATAGAAAAATGGAAGCTATGTACAGAAATAGGTCTCCCATGTGGGTGCAGGGGCCCAAGTACTTGAATCATCTTCTGCTGCTTTCCCAGGTGTGTTAGCAGAGAACTGATAGAAAGTGGAGTAGCTGGGTCTTGAACCAGCACCCATTTGGGATGCTAGTGGTGGCTTAACCTGCTATGCCACAATGCTGGACCCAAGAAATGGTACAATCTTGATGTTCTTTTCTTAAGGGAAGTTGCCATTAACAATACCATGGGCAGCATAATCTTTACTGGGGGAGTATATGTGCTCCCATTCATTGGTTCACTTCCCACGTGCCTGAAATGCCTGGACCAGGGCTGGGTTGGGAGCTGAGAACACTATCCAAGTCTCCCACGAGTGGCAGGAACCCAATTACTTGAGCCATCACTTCTGCTTCCCATAGACTGCATTAGCAGGAGCTGGAGCCAGAGATTGAACCCAAGTACTCTGATGTTGGATGGTTAGGCTAAACACTTGCTCTGGGGCTTGAGTATTTTGAGAGTTAGGGCAGGAAAATGAATTTTTCAAGGGATGGATATTTGGTGCAGAAGTTAAGATTGGAGTGTCTGGGTTTGAGTCCAGCTCTACTTTCTAGTCCACCTTCCTACTAATATGCACAGAGGCAGCAGATTATGGTTCAAGCAGTTGATCTCTACCACTCACTTGGAAGACCCAGGTTGAGGTTCTGGCTCCACGTTTTGGCCTGGCTCAGCACTGGCTGTTGTGGGCATTTGGGAAGTGAACCAGCAGATGAGATACCTCTCTGTATCTCTTCTTGTCTCTGTCAAATAAATCAAAGAAAGAAGACACATTTTTTTAAAAAGAAAATAGATCACTGTAAAATGTTGGGAACTTTTTTCTCAGGCAATTATTTCTTTGCTCTATTCTTGTTTATAAATGAAAGGAACTTAACCTCATTTATTTAGAGCTGAAATTATAGGATTTTGTTGTTATTTAAATAATTGCACTTTACTCAGACATAATGGGTCTACTACAAATAGATAATAAAATGTCTCTCTGGGATACTATTTTGTGTAATGGTGTGTTCTGGCTGAGAATTAAATTATTTTGACTGCACCATTAAAATAATGGTTATCAGTATGCTAATTGCTCATAATGTTTTACTGCTTTGTCATTTTAAACTTCAGTGAAATTGAATTACTTAGACTTGGTGTAGAGAAGAAATTAATGTTTTTAGTGTAAACAACTGCAAAGTGATTCTTTCCTTTTTTCTCTTCAGGAACTCTGGGTAATGTGGAACATGGGAACCAATATCAGATCAAGTTGATGTATGAACATAATCTTCAGCGAACAGCTTGCAATATGACATATGGATCATTTGGTGGTGTGAAAGGTAATTTGCTTTTAGTCGTGAGAGTGAGTGCAATTTCAAATGACAGATGTAGAATATTTGATCGTATGAAGATGGAGGATAGTGTGATTTAAATCTTTGGGAAAGCTAAAATAGATGTTTTTATTGACATTTTTATACTCATATATCCAAACAAAATAATAAAAAAAGAAAACTTTAAGCATTGGATGTATTTGATTTTCATATAATCAACATTTTCATATACAGAGACCGACAAAACTACCTTTTTTAGAGAGTTTGTTTCTTATTCATATGCTCATTGAGCTTTTTAATGATGGACCTGATGCCTGCTTCTCCTCCTGGAATAAAGGGCTGGCCTTCTGTTGGCAGGGGTCCTTGGTATTACCTGTTGCATGCAGGGTGAAGCTACAGACGCCCTCTCCAGCCTCCCCATTTCCTGGGCTGCTACACAGGGTCATGTGGATTGTTTGTGCATGAGAGCAGCTGGAGAAGCTGGCAAGTGGGGGCTGAAATCAGACTTGATGCTGCTCTCTGCTGTGGCAGAAACGACCTAGAGGAAGTTTCACAAACGCATCACCTCTGCTGAGTACTTTTCTCAGTGAGGCTGGATTCCTCCTATCGTGAGGGTTTCATTTTCTAATTAGCAAAGGGCTGCCTGCAGTGTGCCCACCCAGTGCAAGAGGTCCCAGAATCATCAGGGCTTGGTGCTTCTGTGTCCGTTGTTGTTATGATGTGGGAGGGTTCTGACAACCCAGCTCCTCTGGTTGTACCATGACGTGGGGTAAGGACTAATGGTGACACTCACCTGGGTGCTCTTGTGACTCTGTGTGTGTGTGTGTGTGTGTGTGTACATGTGCCACCTGCAGATCAGATAACTAGGGATTTTACATTTTTGCTCTGTTTGGGCTCATGCTTTTGTGAGTTTATTGCTTGCTTGTTGCATTAAAGAAGCTACCTACCTATATTAGATTTTCCTTTCATGACACGAGAAAATGATTCAGTTTTGAAGTATCCCAAACTGAATATTTTGTACAGGGAAGTGAAGGCAAGGACTACATGAATTTAGGCATACTGAATCAGTGGTGTTGGGGTGCTGTGACTCAACAGCTGACTGGGTAACAGGAGCTAACCCAGTAACAGGAATATGTGGATTGTTGGAGGAGGGTGTGAGATGCCAGAGTTGGTGGAGAGGAGAGAGAACTAAGGTTTATGAGAGAGGCCAAGCTCTGTTAGTGGAGTGCCGCTTCCCACCCACAGCATTCACCACCGAGTTTCTCTGTTGTCTGACACACTTGGGGCACCTAGGTCTCCCTTGGTTAGCTGTTTTCAATTCTCTTTCCTCTACCAAATCCCCCAAAAGGAAATTGTTCAATTCTATGCATCTGGAGTCCCAGAAGTTATGAGAAGAAAGTGCTTATTAGTTAGACAAGTCAAAGATTTTTGCTGAATGTATCATGACTGTTCTTTAGATGGCCTGGGAAGTGTTGTGTTCTATAGGTTATACTGTTTCTATTTTATTATCATTCAAGCTAACCCAGTTGGAGTAAATTCTTCGTTCTTGTCTAATATTTTTGCTAGGTTTAGTAATGACTTGCTAAGTAGTATGATGGGGTTTAGGGTATAGCACCCTAAAATAATGCACCTTGGTAGACAGAAAAAAGTGCAGAGCAACCCTGACTTCCCTCCGGCCGTCTCTGAAGCAGGCCCCAAAGCCGGAAGGGTGTTGTGACTTTCCTCTGAAGTGGGTACCAAGACCCTCCTGTGAGAGATGCCCTCCCTACGCGTGGAGGGGAGGAAGAGCCTCGTCTCTGAGGGTGAAGGGTCACAGTGCAGAATATAAATGGATCAGCCTTACTAAGTCCTCAGTTTATTCTCATTAGGTTCTACCCACTTTGTCCTGTCATATTTCTCCATGATTGCTCACTTCCTGATCAAACCAAGCATAAAAATACACAGAATCAACTGCTTCTTCAGGTCTTCATTTTCTTATGAAACTCCTACTGTACATCAAAGTTACATTGAATGAATTTACATATGCTCTTCTCCTGTGAAACTGTCTTTCCCTTTAGGGACCTCAGCTATGAACCTAGGTGGGTGAGAAGAAGATATTTTCCTCTCCTACAAATTATAATGGCTTCGAGTTTTGAAAGGAATGGATGGCTTTGTGCTTATATGATAGCTTTTTTCTTTTATCTCTTAAAACAAGAAACCATTCTGGCATGTTTTACTTTCCTGTGGTTAAGAAAACATTCTGCAATTTGAAACAGGAATATCCGAGTAGCAGAAGGATCATTCTGTTTCATGTCTTTGAAACAATGATGTATGTCACTAAAGCATCTACAAGAAGAAGGAAAAGGCATGGCTAGTCAGTTCAGAGAAATTGATGGGAGGGATGGGCAGTTACTGCTGATGGGTAAAAGGTTTCTTTGTGGTTTGAGGAAAATATTTTAAAATTAGATTATGGCATTGGTTGCACAGGTCTGTAAATACATTAAACACTATGGAGTATGTAAAGGAGTGAACTTTATAGTGGGTAGATAGTGTCTCAGTGAAGCTGTTTGTAGCCTGCGCATAGGCTGAAAACTGATGCTGGTGAGATGGCGAGGGTCTACGCCGCCACGCATCGCACATGTCTGTGTCAGATGACTCAGACTCTCATGAGGCGAGCTGGCTGTTAAGAGCCATGAAATGTTCCTGGATGCTGTAACGTGCCTTATGGGAATGTTTGTTAGCAAGGGATCCAGATTATGGAAAAGCCCCGTGAAATTTCCCTACGTTCATTTCCCACTTCTCCCTGCGGTCCTTCCCTTCCTTCTGTTTATACATCTATATTTTCATTTGCAATATGGAGAAATTAGAAGTGATCTGAGCGATAGCTATATCAATTCAATGGGTTACTATAAATATAAAAATTAAGGTATATTTGATGACATGAGCATCTTTGTACATAAATCTTTGTAATTATTTCCCTGATAGAATGTGGAAATTGAATTAAGTTAGATTGTTATAAGATATGGTTTTCTTTTAATTTTTAATCAGGTTTTGACAGAGTCAGTGTGATTTGTAGGTACAATTCTAAGCAAAGAACATGATGATATTCCCTTCCTCCCTCCCTCCCCTCTCACTTTCTTTCCTTCTCCCTTCTTTTTAGCTTTTATTTGAGAGAATATGTTTTAAAATTACATTACAGTAAAATTGCTTAATACTTCACTGAATAAGAAGTCTAACAAGTAAAAAGCAAAAAGACTCTAGTTTAGTGGGAATATAGACAGTGGCTATAAATAATAATTGAATGGAAAAATGACCATTTCACTCATATACAGTACATTTTAAAGTCAGGATATGTTTCTCTTAATATGGAAGTATCTTTCTTCTTTGAATACTGTGTACTACATTGTAAAAAGTTCAGGATATAGGAAGAAGAAAGTAAAAGTAACTTCTAAGATATGCACATTAAAAAAGAATTTTCTAAGTTTGATGTCTCAGTTGTATATTTAATGTGCACCTTTCAGAAAGTGAGTGGACCATTACTTTTTTGTTTCTAAATTTTAATTTATTTTAATTTGAAAATCAGGAGACAGAGGGAGAGAGGAAGCAAGCAAGTGAGCAATATGCTCTAACGGCTGGATAGCTACCCAAATGCCTACAACAGCTGGGGTTTGGCTAGGCAGAAGCCAGGAGCCAGGAACACCAATCCTGGTTTTCCATATGTGAGGCGGGAACCCAAGTACTTGAACCATCACCTGCTGCCTCTCAGGGTGCACAATAGCAGGAAGCTGGATTGGAAGTGGAGCTGGAGATTGATATGGAAAATGGGCATCCAAGGTGGCATATTAACTGCCATGTTCATTCTTTTATTTTGAAAACTCCCTTAGAGTTTATTTGAGTTTAAAAAAGAAAATTTAAGAATCCCTGTCTTCTAAATTCCTCTGAATTTAATATGGCTTCTTGTGGAAGTTGTAAGTTCAGTAATTATGATAATTTTAATTCTGAAAAAGAATTAAAAAACAAAACAAAACATAACCTGACGCTATTTTATACAAATCAATTTCAAAAATAGAGGAAGGCTGCAGGAAAGGTGATTTTGTATCGCATCACAAGGAACTACCACTAGATGGCAGTCCTCCACAACTTTGGGCCACAGTTGGCACTGCCTTTGAGCAAGGTATTTGGGAAAATTGAAGTTATCCATAAAACACGGCTTATACAATTTAAGGATAATATACACTGTGATTCTTTGGTTTTTATTTTTGTACTGCATATTTATCTACAACGTGGAGTCAAAATTGATTACAACCACTCTGAATGAACTCGGGCTGTGCACTGCTGTTAATCAGCGGTCACACTGTCGACCTCCTTACATCCAATGACTGACTGAAGACTGTTTCTTGAGGTTCTGACTCTTTGTTGGTCCAGAACGGGACCTTGGTTACGGCTTTCTGGCAGTGTTCGAGTAATGCTAAATTATAGAGTTACAGAGGCATCCTGCATCTGCCAAATGTGTAGTCTGTACCAGGCAGTGTTGTAAGCTCTTCATGGGTTGAAAAACTCGCCAAAGATGCACTTAGTAAATGGTTTAGGAGAGATTCTAGTCCGGGTTCCCTGCATCCAGAAACTTGTGATGTTAACAGAAGTCTCCTCTTCTAGGCTCTGAGTGAATTTACCTCCTTCTGAGTTCAGAAAAAAACTTGACTTCAGGAGGCAAGCCAGCTTGGTTTAGTTAAGGTTAATTGCATAACTTTTGGTTCTTCATAGATTACGTAAAATAGATTGAGTAACTTCTGTGTCATGTATTTGCTTTTTCAGTTTATGCTTTGATTTGGAAGAAAAGTAAAAAAAATTAAGAAATCAAAAAGTACAATTTTCTTAAAGAGCTTTATTTTATTTATTTGAAAAGCAGTTACAGAGAGAGAGAGGGAGATCCTCTATCTGCTGGTTCACTCCTCAAATGGCTGTAATGGCTAGAGCTGGGTTAGACCAAAACCAGGAGCCAGGAGCTTTTTCTAGGTCTCCCGCATGGA